ATATGCCCACCCTCTGCACACACCCACCTGCCCGGGCTGCCTCCAGGGGGCGCCCTGGCTCGAACCCCACCCACTCACATGGATGTTGAGCTCCACGTTCTTCCACTGGCAGAAGCGCGTGAATTTATCGCTGCGAGAGAGAAAGCTAGCTTGGATGGGCCCCGGAAGGGAGCAGGGGCAACACCCCAGCTCAAGTCTCTGTGTCTGTAAAGCGACCAATGGTCCAGACAACCCTGCTCAGAGAGCAGCCTGGGAGCTCTCCACCCTGGCCACCCACAGGACTACAGTTTGGGCTTGGCCACCTCTGTGGCTCCTGCTGTGGTCAGCGAAGCTACACAGGAGGCCACCTAGTCTGCTGCCATGCCCTCAAGGTGCCTTCCTTCCCCGCCCCTGCTGGTGCATCTCCACTCTGGGTGCACCCACGCCCTGGGACGCCCTTTTCACGGCTGGGCAGCTCTGGCCCTGAGTCAGCCACCCCTACTTCAAGCTGAAGTCTGCCTGACCAGTGGGCTCTGCACCCACCTACCACAGGGCCCAGGAGGTGTGAGGCTGTCCATGGGGGTTACTGGGCAGCCTGTGAGACGCCTGTTGCTGGCGAGAGTGGGGCAGGCCACATGGAGGAGACGGTGACTAGGAGCCTGCCTGACCTCCCGGGAGTCTCTGTATCAGTGCCCAGGGCCTGGCTGTATTAGGACCCAGGTCCCACGGGCCGAGTCTAAGGCCGGCTGGCCTCCTTCCTCCTCCCTCCACCTTCACCTCCTCTCAGACCGCCCTCCCCTCCCTGTGCCCGGCACTCACCTCTCGATGAATTTATGGAACACGTCCCCTCGGAGGTTCTGACAAATCTCTTCAATATAGGGCTGGGGGGAAAGCCCGAGCATGATGGAACTGCATGTGACCCAGACCCTTGCCCAGGGCTGTCCCCGAGCGGGTGGGCAGCAGGAGGGGACAGCGCTCACCTGGAAGAGGTCTGGTGGCACCTGCTTCTTTGCCAAGTGGCCCTGGACGTGCTCGGTGGCACTTTTTGAGAAGGGCTGGGGGAGAGGGAAGGGCTGTGAGTTCTCAGGGTCTTCTCCCCTCCCAGCCGCAGGGCTGCTCGGACGGGGTGGGGTGGGGTGGGCGTGGCACTCACATGTGAGCAGGCTAGCAGCTCCTTCATGATGTAGGCGTCAAAGATCTCCCGGCTGCACACCAACCGCTCCTCCTCAGTCTCCAGCTTCTCATATTTCTTGATCTAGGGGACGGGGTTCCCTCCTGTGGTCTTGAGCCCGACAGTGAGGCTACGCTCCCCAATAGCCCACCCATCCTGGGGGCATCCCCACCTCACCCTGCAGTGAGAGCCCCCACCCGGACCACCTGCCCAGTACCTCCTCGTAGAACTCCACCAGGGGCTTGGCCTCCTCCAGGTGGTTCAGGCAGAAGTCTCGGAAGAGCAGGTATCCTGAGAGCAGGGAGGTGTGTCACTGGGAGGCCCCGCCCCTTCTGAGCGTGACCAGGGGGGATGGCTCTGAAAGCTGCCCCCTCTTGGGGGTCAAGCAGGGCTAATGGAGGGCAGCTGGTGGCCACCGTGTCTGAAAGGTGGGCCTGGTTTTTCATGCGGGGCCTTGAAGTGATATGTGGATGGACGGAACGACAAGATGCTTTTCCCATCCCTTACCCAACCCTCCCATGGTCCCAGGAGGAGGAAATCTTAGGGCTCAGGGAGGGAAAGCAGCTTGCCCAAGACCACACAGCACAGGCCAGGGGCCCAGGCTGTGCTCCCAACTCAGGCGCCTGGGCACCCCCTGGTCAGGCCAGGCCAGACTGGACCCTTCCCTTCATCAAAGCCCCTCTGGGTGGGCCGGGCCCACATGGGGCAGCAGGTCAGTTCCACAGCAGGGGCGCCTGCAGCCGGAGGAGGCCCAGGGCCAGCATAGGCGACCACAGCTCCGGGTCGGGCAGGCGGCACAGGAAGGGCCCCGCCCCTTCCTGTCAGCCCTAACAGCCAGCGAGCAGCTGCGGCCAAGGGGAAGCTGCGACTCTCAAAAACAAAACCCTGAAGGAGGAACTTCACTGGAAGGCCACTGGGCCCCACCCCCAGGACAGGGCTCCCAGGGCCTGCTGCCAGGGGCAGGGAGGTGCGAGGTCAAAGCCCTGAGGTCAGAGCCCCAGGGGAAGCAGACACTGGGTGGGGCTGGGGGTGGTGGTGGTCAGTCCGAGGTCCCCAGGCCTGGGCAGTGGGAGGCATGGTGGACACACACACACACACACACACACACTCACCTAGCTTCTGGGAGAAGATCTTCTCAAAGACCACCTCGCCCCTGTCCTCCAGGTACTTCTGCATGACACTGCGGATGCTGCCAGAGGGGAGAGAGGTGAGCTGGCTGGGCACTGGGGTGCAGGCTGGGGGCCTACAGGCTCACTGACCCCCTGCTGGGACCACGAGGCACACCAGAAGTACAGAGGGGGCAGGGCTGGCGCCCGCCACCAGAAATCTACACACCACCAAGACTCTGCCCAAAGCAGTCCCTGATGCCTGGTAGCGGCGCGGGAGGGGGGCAGGGGGGAGCGCAGGCTTTGGGCACACAGCCAAACTCCCCAAGCCAGGCCGACTGGTGAAGGGCCCACACGGTGGAGTATTACTCAGCCATAAAAGGGGCTGGACCACAGACATGCTGTGACTTGGAGTGAGAGAGAGCAGTCATTAAAGAGGCGGGAGCCCCAAGATCCTAAGTCTCTCAACAGCCGACCTGAGGTCTGGGGGTTGCCAGGGGCTGGGGGAGGGATGGCAGAGAGGAGCCGCTAATGGGTAAATGGGTTCGGCTTTCTGGCTGGGCTGGAGTGGCTGCCCACCGTAATGACCTCACTAAAAGCCGACTGGTTCACTTGGAGAAGATTAATTTGTCACGTGGATTTTATCTCAATTAAAACACGCAAGTAAGTGATCACGTCAGATTAAAGAAGGCCAGGCCTAGGCTCTCTCCTCCCTAATCCCTGCTGCCTGCTGCCCAGTGAATTCTGACCTGTTCTCGCGTGACCGTTACGGAAGCAGGTAGCTGGGCGTTTCTTGCACGGTGCCAATGGGCGGATCCAAACTGTCAACCTCTAGGCTATTAGTGGATGCAAGCCATTTGTGCCACTGTTGGCTAATGATGTCCGCTCCATTTGTGCCTCTGTTGGCTAATGACGTCCGCTCCCCATGGCCCACCCCAGCTGCCTGGGTTGGGGGAGGGGGCTGCAGGGAAGTAGCTTACCTTATGACTGCTAAGGCCCAAGCTCCCTGTCCTCGGTTTACTTGTATGCCACCCACCCACTGCTAAGCACACTCCGGGCCTCAGATGCCAACAGCAGCTGTGGACACAGCTGGACTCCTGAGGCTCACAGCTGCCCATGCTAAGGGCTTAGATGTGGGGTCTCCAGCAGGCCCCCCCCGGGAAGGGCAGCTGTCCAGGCAGAGGCCCCCTTGCTTCATATAGCCCCGCCTTTGTCTCCAGGGCTGGCCTGGCCACCAGGGCTATAGGCCAGAACCTGGAGAGGTGCTGTCTCCTGCAGACAGTCCTGGCCCCCTGAGCAGGTCCTCCTGGGTGCTATGAAGTTGGAGAAGGTGACAGCAAGCCACCTGGTTTGGGTGGGGCAGGTGAGGGTCGGTGGAGCAGAGGGTTGGGGAAGTGGGTTCAAAGCCTGGGAGAGGGCAGGTCTCCTCTCAGAGGCTGGGAGATCAGCGGCTCCAGGTTGGGGATGGGTCTGGAGGAAGGAGACAGGGGACGGCTGGGGGCGGTTCCCAGGCCCTTGCTTGGGTTGGAGCCCCTCACAGGCAAGGCCGGCCAGCCTGACAAGAGCAAGCACCGTTGTCAACACACACACACACACACACACACACACACACACACACACACACACTCTCACTCTTTCTCTCTCTGAAGCTGTGGCCCACTGGGGAGAGCTGGCTCCAACAGGAAGTCAGGAGGCCGAGGACAAGGATCGCCTCTCGTTCTCTCCTGCAACTACCTCAGCCAGACTCTACCTACTAGCAAGTGATGAGCTCTGGGCCCAGACCCAGGTGCCACAATGCGGCGGTGCCACGGGACGACAAGGACACCCTCGTCCACTCTGACACATGCTCTGCTCCTGAAGCCACACGCTGGCTCACATTCACCAGTCAGGCCTCGTGGGCCGCACGGGGACATGGGGGACAGAGGGCCAAGCATCTGACCACTCCTCGGTGCTGCGGGCAGGCTGGAGGCCTGCGTCTGACGGCCACCCTGAGCTCTGTGGCTGCCCGGGTGAGGGTGCCAGCATTGTGGGTGCTCGTCTGGACCTTCCTGCTGACCCACTGAGTTGAGGGCCAGGCTCAAGCAAAGGCAGGTCTGGAGGTGCAGGCCGTGGCGCCCTGAGACCACTTGAGGGCTGCTGCCTGGACTCACCCCCACTTTCACATCCTCAACTCTCATCCCCCTGCTGGGCAGGGATTGGACCAAAGCAAGGGAGACGTAACAGTCAGAAGATGCCAACTTGCCCCCAAAGTGCCTGGTGTAAGCCCCCAGGCATTGGGCCCATCACTGGGAAGTCCCCCTGAGCTCCAGGCTGTATTCCTGGGAGTTGTCTTAGCCAGGGCTGCAAGGTGGGGTGCCCCATCAGTACCTGGGATCGGCCATCCTGGCATCTACCCCCACTCACCGCAGTGGCCCTGCAGGGAAGACCTTCTAAAGCACTGATTCTCAGCCTTCCTCATGCCGCAACCCTTTCACGCAGTTCCTCACATGGAAAATAAAATTATTTTCGTTGCTACTTTATCGCTGTCATTTTGCTACTGTTATGAGTCGGGCAATCCCTATGAAAGGGTCGTTCAACCCCCAAAGGGGTCGCGACCCACAGGGTGAGAACCGCTACTCTGAAGGGACACTGCTCCCAGGGCTGGAGCCAGCCAGGCATGTCCTCCCCCTTGGGGAGCGTGGGGCAAGGACCAGGCAGGAGGGGGCCTTGTGGCCCGGCCTTGGCGCCTCCCAGCCCCCCACCCTACCCCAGCACTGCATGCTCTTCCTTAAAAAGGAGAAAAAAAGAAAAAGCTTTTTGAGGAAAACAAACATTCCCCGCCCCAAACCAAACACAAGGTCAAGCCTGAGAGGAGTCCTTGACTGGGAGGTCCCCAAAGTGGCCATGTTGGGGTTTCCTGTTTATCCCTGCAGGGCTGATGGCCACAGGGGGGTGGCAGGTTGAAAGGACAGTGGTCTGAACGCCTCCCCTCCCGACAGACACCGAGCAGAGTCGGAGTGGCAAGGAGCCGCCGGGAGGCTGCATCTCCACCCCCAACTGGTCATGCACCCTGGTCTGCGGGAGGACGGGCCGAAGATCCAGACAGAATCTTCGGAGAAACCATGGCCAAATATTCCCAGCAGAGCTCCCTGGGTTCCCGGCCCTCCGGGAAGGCCCTCGCCTGCCCCTTTGGCCTGCAGTCAACAGGTGTCCAGGCTTGGTTTCCAGCTGGACTCTTGGGGAGGCCAGGCCAGGCTTTGAAATGGCTAGTTCCCCATTTGCAAATGGAGGATGTTGACAAAACGCTGAGTCGCCCTGAACCCAAATGGGCGCGGAAGAAGCCGGAAAGGCGCTGCGCCAGAGAGGAGCTCCCCTAAGACAGTGGCTGGGCCGAAACAGACGGCCCCCAACCTGCGGAGAATGCTCCCAACTGTGACCCTGCAGCTTCCAGAGCCTTCTAGAAGGAGGCCATGTGCCGCCAGGGGGATTGTCAGGGCTCTGCTAACACTTGTCACATTCTTGGGGTGGGGCCTGGGGCCCAGCCCTGTCCAAGGCTGAACCCCAACACTCGGATCCACCTGAAACTTTTGGGGTTAGCCCCAGTGCATAGCACCTCATACCTGCCCGACCACAGGACCCTTGGGAAGGGGGTTGAGTGCATAGCCCCGAGAGCCTGTGTCCCCACCTCGAGGGAACTGCATGCTGACGCAGTTGCTGGGGGGCAAGCTGGGAGTGGGGTGGGGTGCATGTGGCTGAGAGCTGGGGCTGGGCAGCGCACAGGAAGGCAGAGATGAGTGTTGGGGGGGGGCCTTCTGGTCTCGTCTGGTGCCACATGGTTTGGAGGAAAGCAGGGTCCCACACTCTGCGGGTGCGCACTGTGACCCCACTCAGGCCAGAACGGCTGGCGTGACTGACGGTGCGGAAATGGAGGCAGGTGGAAGCTGAGCATCCTGTCCTTGGCCCCACGAGGGGCCAAGACATGGCCCAGCCTCCCTAAGACTCAGCCTCCCTCCAGTGCAGGGGCACGGGAGCACATCGGCGGGGCGCAGGCCCAGCCTTTGCCTGCCTGCCTGCCTCGCTTCCCCACCCCGACACGTGTCCAAGCCTCGGCCCTTGCTCCACGCGTGACAGGGCAGTTCAGGCTGGGCACGGCCAGGGCCCGGGAGGCAAGTGTTCTGGGGCCAGCGGAGCAGAGCCGTGGCCTCGGCTGAGATGCTCTGCGGTGGCATTTCCAGGAAATCTGGCACTGAGGTGGCAGGAGGAAGTCCCCTGGACCTATTTCTCAATGGCTCTCCCTGGGGCTGACAATGTCCTCAGAGCTCAAGGACGGGGCCCCAATCCAACGGAAAGACCAACCCCAACCACCAACCTCAGAGCAAGGCGAGGGTGGGACAGAGAGCGACACCCTCCCACACAGGAGCCACCACGGGTCCCGGGGCCACATCAGAGCCGTGACGTGCTCGCTAGCTCGCTCACTGGGGGCATGGGCCGAGGCACTCTGGTGGCCTGCCACGTGCCTGGGCACCTGTGTGAGAGTGCCCTGAGGCCCCCTGCCCTGCGACCTCACTGCCTACCTGGCAGCCCCAGCCTGGGGTCCAATCAGAGACCACCCACCCTTTCTGTCACTGGAGCTGCTGGCCTGGCCACACCCGCAAACCCACTGGACAGACCAATGGACTCTGTGCCTGCTTGCGGGGAGCAGGGATGCTACCTACGCAGGATGGTGCCATCTCAGCACTCTGCTTTCTGCGTCATCGCTGGTTTCAAAGAGATGGGGTCTGAATGCCAGAGGGACCCCATCAGTGACCAGCAGGGGTCACAGACCCCCTACTCTCCCTACCTGCTGCCCCAGGGCCAAGTCACTGGGGGAGAGGGCCCTGGTACCCGTGCTGGGTGGGATGGAGCTGGTCACGTGCTCTGTTGTTTGTTCAGAGGCAGGAGCGGAAGATCTTGGAAGCAGCGGCCCCCTCGGAAGAGCTGACCTGGCTGCCTGCAGCTCAGTCACGGGGAATTTACTCTGAGGCTCCACCGTGCATTGGTGGGATGAGTCCAGATCCCCTCGCTCGAATCCCACCCTGGCCCCACAGTGGGCTCTGCGCCCTCCGAGTCCGTTCGCCATGAGAACTGCA